CACACACAGGACGAACCAATGAGAAGAAAGTGCCCAAACAGCAGAGGCGGAGGCACGGACACAGCGTTTGCCAGATGACAGAGGAAGAACAAATGTTTTATTACTGGAACAGAAAACAGTCGCGGTAGGCATGGGCGAAGCGGTAATGGGTTCAAAGGACACAAGAATCCTGTAAGGAGAGGACAAAGGAGTGGCAGAATGCACTGGGGCTTTAAGGAAGCTGGAAATGTTTTGCAACTGCGCTCAGAAACATGGTGCACTTTTATGCACACAGGATTAATGGTCAAATGTTTACTTACAACATTTCATCAGTAAGTACAAGAATATCTACCTAATTTCATAGTTCTCTCATCATGAACAAAGTTTCATTTTTAAAGCATTTTTACTAATTTGAAAGGTAGAGTTATAAGGAGAAAGAGACCTTCCATGTATTGGTTTATTCCCAAGACAGCCCCAATGGCCAAGGCTGAACAAGGTCAAAGCCAGGAGCTTCGTCAGGCTCTCCATATGGGTGAAAGGACCCAAGGCTTTCGTCATTTCTACCACCTTCCTAGGTGCGTTAGCGGAAGGGGAGGGATGGACTCAGATATGGAATTACTGAATGGAACCAGGGCCCATCTGGATCACAGGGGCTGCAGTGGCAGCTTACCATGCCATCCCTCTAAGTTATTCCAAAGGCTTCTTAACGTGCCTGTCAGCAGCGCCCTCCTCCGTGTCAGGTCCGTTCCTGGGGTAGAGAGGACCAGCAGCTATGCTATGGCGATCTCAGAGACCGGAGGGCATAGATGACTGTGCTTGATCAACACTAGCCCCTTCCACAGACGCCAGTTTCAGCATTTGATTTTACACACACACACTCCACATCATAATTATTTGCTATTTTTGCTCCCCCCCCTTTTTAAAGATTTATCTATTTTTATTGGAAAGGCAAATGTACAGAGAGAAGAAAAGACAAAAACATCCCCCATTCACTGGTTCAATCCCCAAATGGACACAACAGCCAGAGTTAAGCCAATCTAAAGCCAGGAGCCAGGAGCTTTTTCTAGGTCTCTCATGTTGGTGCCAGGGTTCCAAGGCTTTGGGGCCGTCCTCCACTACTTTCCCAGAGCATAAGCAAGGAGTTGGATGAGAAGTGGAGCAGCAGGGACGTGAGCCAGTGCCCGTAAGAGATCCTAGCACTTTCAAGGAGAGGATTAGCAAGGTGAGCCACCACCCAGGTCCTATTCTTGCCTTCCTAAATGACTTTTAAAAGATGCCGTTCACATCTGGCACATACAAATATGAGAGGTAACTATAACATCATCTTAAACCCTTCATTTTTACTACTTGTTAATTCTGAATATATAGAAAATTAATAAAGACAGGAATCATTTAACATGAAATCACCAGAACTCTGCTATTCAAAGCAAGCCACTGAGACGGTCCCCATCCTATGAGAGTTGGTGCACAAAGCTCTTCCCTGGCAGCTAGCTTCCTGGAAAGGCAGGATTCACTTAGTCTGCCAGTTTTAGTACCTCCATATGCCCATCAGAGAAAGAACAACACCACCCAAAAGAAGCTGGCTGCAGAAAGATGGGTGGCCCTTAACTTTCACCATGTTACCAGCATCTCCCCTGGGGTGTAGGAGAACACCAACGCTTCATCCTTGAGGGCCCAAACTGAGCTTCTGATCCCCTGGGAACGGAGCTGGGTTTGAAGGCATGTGTCAGGTAAGCCCTAAGGTGCCGCCAAGGCCACATTTACAGCTAAGATACAGTGTACACCTGGGCCATCTCATTAAGGATTTGATGAATTTATGCTTGAGGTAATTCAGGTTTGCAGTTTCTAAGATGCCACTCTGACAGTATTACAGTTTGGATACCGTGTGGTTTATCTCAAGGGTCTGTGAGCTGCAAGTCTGAGCCCCAGGGTGCCAGTGCTGACAGGTGGGATCCTCAGGAGATGGGAAGAGGTTATGCCTATAGCAGTAGCATCCTCCAAAGAGATCCACAACATTCTTCAGGACTTTGGTTTGTTCTCGACAAAAGCACCTGTTCTGAAAAGAGTGGGCCTGGTCCCCATATCCCTGGGGCTTCCTGTGCGATCCCACGGTTTTTTCCAAACCTACACTCCCACTGCAAGGAAGTGTCCATAGGAAGGCCTGCACCAGAAGCCAAACAGAAGGGCTTACCTTACCTAAAATTTGCCTCTAAAACCATGAGCTAAAAAATATAAAGTAGCCAGCTTCTAGGATCTTGTTACAGCAACAGAAACAGAGGCAGAGAGAAGCAATACAAAGAAAAGTACTCTCACATAACACTGCATTTACGCCAATCTTTCCATCCGTAATTCATAATAATTTCTACAAGCAGAACGCATCTCTAATCAATGGTGCATCACAGTTCAGCCAACAGTGAGCTGTTCTCCTTAGTGCTACATGACATAATGGTATGAACTATAATATCCAAGGAGCTGATTCTTTGAAACGCAAAATCACTACTTCTAACAGTGGTGCTGCGAAGGGGCAGGACATGAGCCCCTGGAAGATACTCAAGAAATAGGAGAGCCATTTAAGATCACACAGCCAGTAACCGAAATGCCCAAGATTAGCAAATCCAAAACTTAGGACTTGAAGCCAAGCCTCCTTCCCGTGTGGCACTTGCCAAGGGCGTGCAGGAAACGTGTGGATGAAACCCCAAGGAGCAGCATGGGAGTGCCGCTCCCAGGCAGCGCTGCGCTGTGCTCGCTCTGCTCCCGAGGCACAGTCACGGGCGAGGGCTTCAGTTTCCATGACAGAAGGTAATCCCAGGAAGTCAGGTTTATGCCAAGACAGCCAGGAAGCCTGGGGAGCCAGCACAACTCCACGCATCATCAGTTTTCTCGGACGCTCTGGAAGCCATGCCAGAGGCCTCACGCAGAAATGACTCTCCAAAAGGCACAGTGTGGTTTGAGAAGTATGACTTTTCTGAAATAGTGTAATCTTAAACATTAAAGGAACAGAACAGGAAAATCTAACCTATGTTATCTGTCCTAACACTGTCCACCCCACCCCTATTGCAGAAGTGTGCAGCAAATCATGCAATGGCTTCAGCATACCCCAAACAGCACACCTCCGCCTTTGCCTGCCAGGAGTGACTGTCAGAATCCCTGAGAGAAGAATGCACTCAGATCTGCCTCACAGACCAGTCACAACTCGGAGGAGGTAACAGTTCATTTCTCCTCTGCATCCCAGAGGGTTTTCCTCTTTGAAAGGACACGTAACATTTCTTAAGTCTCACATTCTGACAAACAAACAGACTGGGCAGGAGCCATACAACCTTCGCTGCAACTTTTAAAAACGGAAAGCCTTGACTCAGACAGGCAAAGAGCTGTCCCAAAGGCTGAGTGGAGCAGGGTCAACCAGCAGACCCACGATGGTGGCAACTTCCTCAGTGCCACAGGACAAGCAGGCACTGGCCAGGGTATTCCCCTCTCCCGATCTGGTTTGGGATATTTACAAATGGTAACGTCTCGGGCTCAAGCAGGGGAAGCCTTATATGCCCATCAACAGGCAACAGCAGGAACAGTCACACAACACTACCATACTGCATGCTTGGCACAACTCTGCAGCAGGACAACCCAGAGGCAAAGGCAAGGTATACGTGGAAACCTTTCTTTCAAAGAACTACCCCATTCTCGCAACAACAACACACTAAGCAGGGACTGAATCACACAGGGCGAGCATTACTTAGGATTCCCACATAGTGGCAGTTCAAGATCATTTTAATATTCTGATTCTCTTTCCTTACATAATTGAGAGGGATGCCCACCCCTGTGGGCCTCTGATTAGGGTGGGGAGGGTCAGGTATGGAAGAAGGTAGTGGGGACAAATATTTCAACTTTTTTCTTATCTCCTATGTCCACAGAGATGGAAGGGGGAAGGGGCTGCTCCTTGCTGTTAAACTACCTTAGCAGCCAGAGACAGTAACAGTCATTTGAGGACCCTTAGAGACCACCACGCGGGAAAGAGTGCTTCGAGGGTGTCGCCCTCCTTCAGCAAATGAGGAGGACCAGTCCTGGCACATGCACTTTCGTGACTTTCTCCCTGTGTCTGGGGTCTGAGTCCAGTGCGGACTCCCCAAAGAAACCTAGCCTGTGGTGACCTCAGACTTGATTCCTGTATGTATGCACCAGCCAAAGTCAGGTTCAGTTTGTCACCTGCACCAGCCAATGCATACACCAGTGGATGCAGCTGCCTGGTCAGTTCCACCCCAGCCCCATATCTCATAAGAATTAACAGGTACTGAGGCCCAGCCCAGTCCTCAGGTATACCAGAGGGTGCTGTAACCCAGTTGAGATGAACCCCCATAATCCCTCAAAAGGCCTGCCCCAGGACCTGCTGCAGACTAGCCCAGCCCAGCCCGGCCCGCATCCCATCTGGCTCTTGTACACACTCAGACGCTGCTGCTTAGAGTTCGGCCTTCCCCATCCCAAGACTCGGCCCTCACATATGCCTACAGGTGCCGCTGCCTTGTCCAGCCTGGCCCACCCCCAGCAGTGTACAGCCTAGCAGGGGAGTGCCCACAGTTCCTCTGCCAGGCATGCTCCCAGCCCTGGACCTTCCACGTGTCAAAGTCTTGCATCATTCGCACCCAATCCTGGCACTTGCCAGCTGATGCTGCGGCCTAGCCTGGCTCTCACTGATGGGTGTTACAGCTTAGGCCAGTGTGATCTACCCCAAGACCCAAATCACATATGACCTAGCAGGTGCAGCAGCCTAGCCTGGCCTGTCCCACACCCATTCTGGCTCTTGAGAGCACTAGCAAGTGTTAGAGCCTAGCCCAGTCTCGTCTGCCCCCAGACCCAGTGCACAAGCATGCCAATAGGTGCTGCACACTGCCCAGCATGGTCCACCCACGGCTCTGGCTCTCACACTTACAGGTGAGAGCTACCACCTAGCAGTGGAGTTAGAGTTCCCCTACCAGACCCATTCTCAGCCCCAGGTCTTGCACTTGCTGGCAGGTATTTCTGACCTGGGCCGGTTCACCCCTCCTTAGGCAACCTGGTGGTCCCCCGCTCCCGGGAGGTCACCATATTGATGCCGAACTTAGTGCGGACACCTGATCGGCATAGCACACTACAGCCCAGAACTCCTGGATTCAAGCGATCCTCCAGGCTCAGTCTCCTGAGTAGCTGGGACTTGCCACCGTGCCCGGCAACTGGCGGGTATTTCAATCTAGTCTGGCATGTCCCTGTCTGCAGTCTCCGCTCTCAGTACTGGAAGTTGCAGCTTACCCCAGCAGGAAGCAGCCTACACCCAGTCCTAGCTCTTGTGCATACCAGCGTGTGCTGCAGCCTGACCCAGGTTGGCCTTTCCCCATACCCAGCCCACACAAACGCTGAGGAGTGTTGCAGCCCTGCCTGCCATGCCCCCATCCCCTGCTTTGGTGCTTCCCAGTAGGAGCTGTGGCCTAGTAGTGGAGTTCCCAAGTTCCCCTACCAGGCTCACTTCCAGCCCTGAAACCTGCATGTGCCAGTGGATACAATGGCCCTGTTTGGCATGGCCTACCCTCAGTCCTGGACTTTGCATGTGCCAGCAGGTGCTACAGTCTGGCACTACCTGGCCACCTCCCAGTACCAGATCCCACTAATGTCAGGTGGGTTCCTTTCAGGTGAGTTCTGTGGTCCAGCCTGGCTTGGCCTATCACCAGCACCAGTTCTGTGTAAACCAGCAGGTGCTGCAGTACCACAGAAACAAGATCACAAGTTCCCTACAGAATCTGCCTCCAGATCGGTTCCCTCACGTTCTGGTGGGTGCTGTGCCCCAATCGGACATGGCCCACTCTCTGCTCTGACACTCATGGGCAGGTGCTGGGCCCAGACCAGCCAGGCATACACTCAGTTTTTGTGTATGCCAGTCAATGGCAGGTGATGCTATCAGCCCAGCCTAGGTCTCCCACGTGGATGGTACTTTGGCCTGACCCAGATATGTCCTCCAGCCTATACATATTAAAAAATTGTTTCAAACACATTCTTTGTGATATTAAGATGAAATGAGATGAAGGCAAACATAATTAACAAAATACAGTTTGAGAACGGTAGACAAAACATGGCACACTACACAATGCACAACAACAGACCATTTGAGAAAAGAATACTGGAGCCAAGACTTAACAGACCAGCAGCGTCACAGCTGGCAAAGTGATCGCCTGCAAGACTGGAATCATTTGGGCATCCGTTGCTGCCCTGCCTGCTTCACTTCCAATCCAGCTGCCTGCTAACGGCCTGGGGAAAAACAAAAACACAGAAGAAGGCCCAGGTGCTTGAATTCCTGCCCCCCATGTGGGAGATCTGGATGAAGTTCCTGGCTCCTGGTTTCAGCCTCGCCCGGCCACTCCCATTACAGCCCTCTGCAGTGGCACATTCATTTCTCTTTCTCTTTCCCTGCCCCCTTCCCTCCATCTCTTTCTGCATCTCTTTTCTTCTCCCCCTCTTCCTTTCTTCCTTCCCGTCTCTGTACTCTGCCTTTCACTTAAATTATATCTTTAAAACTGTAAAAGAACAGGCACTAGGTCCCATCACGGTAGCCAAGTGGTTACATACTTGCCTTGCACCTGCTGGCACCCCATATGGGCACTGGTTTGTGTCCCGACTGCTCCACTTTCCCACTCAACTCTCTGCTTATGTCCTGGGAAATCAGTAGAGGATGGCCCAAGACCTTGGGACCCTGTACCCACATGGGAGACCCAGAAGAAGCTGCTGGCTCCTGTTTCAGATTGGCTTAGCTCCAGCCATTGCAGCCACTTGGGGAGTGAACCACTGGATGGAAGATCTCTGTATCTCCTTCTCTCTGTATTTCTGCCGTTCCAATAAAGTAAAACTTTAAAAAAAAAAAAAGAGCTGGCACCGACTGTAACAGCAGGTAAAGCCAGCATCTGCAGCACCAGCATCCCCTAGGACAACAGCTCCACCTTCCAGCTGCTCCACTCTGCTCCCTGCCAACATTCCTGGGAAAGCAACACGGGATGGCCGGAGAGCTCTGGCCCCTGCACACATACAGGAAACCCAGAAGCAGTTCCTGGCTCCTCGTTTCAGATTCACAGAGCTCCAGTAGTTGCGGCCTTCTTAGAGTGAAACAGCAGACAGAAGATTCTATCTCCAATTCTGCCTTTCAAAGACATAAATATCACTAAAACATAAACTCTTAAAAAAAACCCAGTACAAAGATAATAGGGTTGTTAAGAATGAGAATCCCATCTTCTGCCCTTAAATTTGCCCCTTCTTAAAGGGAGCTTGCCTCACAGCAGTATCACTCTGGACTTGCTTTTGCCTTGCTCAGAAACTACTCCTTCCACACAAGCACTTTTCTTAATTTTTGAGGATAAATTTTGCTGAAACATCTTTACTGAACAAATTTTATACATGATACAGTGAATTCAACCTCTAAATCGAATGCACAGTATAAAAAGTCTTTCTTGGCCCATGTGAGCAGCCAGGGTGGTTGACAAATGAGCCACATTTCATTTCTCACAGTTCTAGAAAGCAGCAAGTTTAAGACCAAGGCCTGAGCAGATCCAGTATCTTGTGACAATTGTTTCCTGGCTCACGGTGGGGCCTTCCAGCTTCTGTCCTGGCCTGATGAGAGGAGGAAGCAGCCTTTCTCAAGTCAGACTAAACACACAAACCACAAAAGCCCCAACTCCTAATACCATCACTTTCGGGGTTAGGATTTCCATGTAAGAATGCAGGGAAAGAACATCCAGATCATACAATGTAAAAATATTATATATATGGTCTTTATATACTTTTATTCCTTATTACAAGACAACAAAATAATCACTATCTGGCAGCAATATGGAATAACTATACATTAAAACACCTCTTTCATCGAAGCTCCAATACACAGTTCATGTCTCAGCTGTCCCACTTCTGATCTAGCTCCCTGCTAATACTCTGGGAAAAGCAGCAAAAGATGTTCCAACTGCTTGGGTCCCTACAACCCTTCCAGGAAACCCAAGCAAAGCTCCTTGCTCCTGTGTCTGGCATCTACCTGGACCGGGATAGCCACCACAGCCACCTGGAATGTAAACCAGTAGAGGAAGAGAACGCTCTCTTGCTTGCTTTCTCTCTCTCTCTCTCTCTCTCCCATTCTCTCAGTAACTGTGACTTTCAAAACAGATAAATTTGGGGGGTTTGAGGGAAAGGACTAACCACATTTTATAATTTCATAAACCATGCGGTAAAGTCACAATTTACCTCTGAAGCTCACTAGGCTGTAACATGGTCGTATTGTTAAATAACAAAAATACTGGTCTAGAGTGGTAAATTCTTAAAATGCTCTTTTTCTCCGTATGATATATGTTAAGTAAGCTCTTTCCTAAACGTTTATAATTGGACCTTGACTTTCCACACATAAAAGCATTTACCCAATATTTACCAAACTATTCACCCAATTGTTGAATCTGCTCAATGAAGTGGCCTCTGTCAGTGCCATCGGCTTCACAGCCCACAGCAGCTTCTTACCTATTTGATCTTAAAGAGTGTTCCAGAACACAATTTTACCTAACTGAAGATAAAGGTTTTAAGATAAAAAGATAAGGAACCTCTAAGTGCAAGCAAAGAAGTGATGTCAGAATACAGATTAACTTTTTAAAAAAGAACTGCACGGTAAAGAAAGGATATCAACTTCTTTTTGTACTTTTGCTGCTAAAGAATTCTAATTTTGATGCCAAAGTTAGATGGTGACATATTGAGGCACAGAACAGGACTGTTGAGCTAAATTTAGATGTTCCTTCTTGGAAGCACCCACCAGCAGCTCCTCAGCCATTTACTGAATGATTAGCTTGCCCTAAACTCTTGATGTGTGTTACTGGAGTTAAATTTCCTGTCTAGCCACTTGGTCCACAGTATTTTATCTGCGCGGTCCACAGGAGGTTAACGACCAAAGCGAATCAGCACCCAAGTTCACCTGAAGATCAGGTTCGGTTCTAAAAGCACGTGTTCCTTCCTGCGTGTCAACTTGTCTCACACCACGCACCACCTCTTCAGCACCCATTTTAAATAAGCCTTATCTCCTTCAATCCTCACAACTTTATCTCGGGGATTATAATTGCTTGTTCTCAGGATTAGGAAATCTAGAATGGGTATTTAGCCTAACGGTGTAGACGCTCATCTCTACCAGGGTGCCTGGGTCCAACAGCTCTGCTCCTGCTAACGCAGATCTGGAAGGGGACAGCTCAAGCCGTCAGGGTTCCCCACCCACTTGGAGGCCTGAATGGAGTTCCTAGCTCCCAACTTGAGCCTGGCCAGGCCCAACCACGGCAGGTGTTTGGGCAGTAAACCAGCAGAGGACAGTTGGCTGCCTCTTTTCTGAAAAAGAAAATAAGGCAATTAGGAAAAATAAGATTTAAACATGTTATATAGCTGGACAGGACTTAGTCTCTGGACTATGGCACCAAAGGCTACATACTCTAACCTGCCGTGACACTTTGAGTTCTAGTCCTGATTCCCAGACCAAGCCAGAAAGGATCTTTAACGCTTCTCCCTTCAGAGCCCCAGCGTCTCTGTACACAGCGGCCACACGGCTCCTCGTGGACTTGCACTGTCAATCATCCGCTCCACAGTCTCAAACTGAGAATTATAAAAAGCGGAAACCCTTAGAAGGATGTCTTCTGTCAAGCAGGCATCACCGGGGTCACTGCCACAATCGGCTGTCTACTCTGTCTGACAACTTTAAGCCAAAAAACTGGGCCAGGTGTGGTACACTTTAAAATCAAACACTAAGCACTTCCCATTGTCATTTCTGTCTTGTGTCATCACTATCTGGAAGACAACAGGTGGAATTTCTAGGTCTGTGACTTCATCCATGAGTACGAACTCAAATGACTTGAACATCACTGCCCTGAGTTATACCCAATGACCAGCAGTCCCTTTGCCTCTGCTTGCTGATAACAGAGGCTGGAGCTCACTGATGGGAGCGAGTAAAACAAAGTAACCACTATTAGGTGCTACTGAGGCACATGTGTCTATGAACAGACACAGAGTGGCAGCTCTGGATCAGCTGTTTTCAGAAAGGGCTCAGGCTGGTCCCCAGCAGCTCACACAACTGGGACCCGCCATCCTGCAGAGGGACCTCGGGCTTCTCCTGCAGCACCAAAAGCGCCAAGCATCTGATGCCTGCCAATGCACAAGCATTTCCAACGCACTTCTCAGTATTTATTATGCTCTAAGACATTCTTCAAAGCTCAAAAAGCCTGGATATCCGTACATTCCAATCTTAATTTTCCAAGTCTAAGATGAAGGTGTTTCACAACTGAGGTGCGTGGAACAGAATAAAAGGTCGCAAGATTAAAATTCAAAATCTGAAATTATTCACAAAACAAATTGATAAATTGTGGGGAAGGGGGAGGAGGAGAGTGATGGTGAATCTAGGGCTGTGAATAAAGTGAAGAATTACAATTCTAATAATTCTTATAATTATTGTATATTATATGCTTATCACTCTACATTTTTAAATTTTCATTGTGAAGATTATACTGTCTGTAAATCATAACTCCTTAATACACAACTGCAGTCCAGCATATCGTGTTCAATTTAAGCATGAGACTTGGAATACATAAATAGTAGCAGTCCCATCCAGGGAGTTCCTCCTCATTCTGGCTCCTGGCAGCAATGAGATGCAAAGCGAAGACCACTGGCCACGCAGGTAACCTGAGTGGAGGTTCCAACTCTGCTGTTAATAGGTGATGCCTCCAAGACGGAGGCTCCTGGGCCACTGAAACATGGAGAAAGAGAATCAGCGGGAAAGGCACCTGGACCGAGAGGGCAGGGAGGGTAGGGAGGGCTGGGGTGGCAGGGAGGGCAGGGGTGCCAGGGCTGCAGGCGTCTTGCTGGCAGGAGACCTTTCCTGTGGACTGAAACCACCCCACTGTCCAGAGGTCCCACTGAGAGCCACAGAAAGCCTCAGGAGGTTTGGAAAAAAACAGCAAGAGAAAAAGATACCTTTGCAAAGCAGTTAGGGAACAATAAACAAAAAGAAAAAAAAGGAAAAGGAAGAAAACAGGCAGGAAAAACCAACAAATAGGAAGATAACGTCCAACATTTGCTAGTAAAAAGATACAAGACAGTTTTTTTCTTGGAAAAAAACATTTCTGTACAGCTGTAAAATTTAAAACTCACATTCAAGTAAACGTGTGTCTGCAGTCTCAGACTGTACGGGCACCAAGGACACAGTAACAGAGCCCTTTCCTCCCAGTCCAGGGAGTCGGGGACGGCTGCATTTCAAGGTGCCAGGGGCGAATGGGTGGATCAAGCCATATCACGAGTTCGGTTGACAGTTAAATACGAGATGCTAACAGACATTTAGGAGGCGATGTAAAGTAGTCAGCTGGACACATACACCTCAGCTCAGAGAGCTGGGAGGCAACGGCACCAGCCGCTTCAACTCCACGGAAGCAAGTGAGAACATCTACGCACATCGCAAGACGAAGAGACTTGTGAGAGCAGCCCTGCGGAAGAGCCAGCATTCCGGCAAAGGAGAAACCTAAACAGAGGGAGGAGCACCCCTTCCAGTTCTTCATACTTCCACCAAAATCCTTCAGGAATTGTCGACAAAGCCTTCTGTGCCGACACATGGAGACTGATTTCTGTCGCCCGTTTCAAGCACCATCAACTGTTGGCTACGGTTCTGTTACGACAGACTAAGCCACAGCCTGCCGTCCCAGGACCCTGTAGGAAACGCTGGCTCAAGTCCCAGCTGCTCCATTTCTGATCCAACTTCCTGCGAACATATCTGGGAAAAGCAGTGGAAGATGGCACACAGTGGCTGGCTCCTGGATTGGGTCTAACCTAGCCCCACCTGTTGCGGCCATGAGGGAAATGAACCAAGGGATGGATGGCATCTTTCCTTTTCCCTTTGAACCTACTGCCTTTGAAATAAACAACTCTTTTAATTTTTTTAACCAGCTATTAATTTTGTTCATTTCAATAGGCTGGCAGTTGGTGAGGGGCGCCACCTGAGTGACACTTCCTGATGAGTCACATTTCCAGATAAAGGGAGATTCTCCCTTTAAAGGAAAGGTTCACAACTCAAATACTTAAAATAATCAGGTTAGGTGAGCCCGAAGCACTGAGACAGCAGACATTAGCTCCTGCACCCCATGTCTCTTAAGGGAATTCAAATTCAGTGTTTTATAGAGAGATGGCTTTGTTCCTAGTGGTCAAGGAGGATCTAGTCACTGAAAACCATGCTTCCTGGAGCTTCTCACTGCTGGACAAGGACTGACAATAACATAAATACACTTTTCTTACACTGCTGAAGTATCTCAATCTGAAAATTCAAAATGTTCAAAATCTGGAACATTCTGAGCATTGCCATAGCCCCACAAGTGAAAAAGTGCACACCATTTGTTTTATGCACACTATTATTTAAAACGCTGTACCAAATTACATCTGGGCTATGCTTATAGGACATGTGGAAACGTAAGTGGATTTCACATTTAGATTTGGGTGTCCCGTTCCTCAGATGTCTTATGCACATGCCAATATCCCCAACTTTGAATCACTTTTGTACCAAGCATTTTGGACAAAGGATACTCAACCTGTTTAATATCACTAAAGTCTTTCCTGGTATTTTCAGTGTTCTCCATAGAGAAAATGCTAATAAATTTTGTGCTGTAAGAGATAGCTTTTTTTTTTTTTTAACAGCTGAGCCAATCCAGAACCAGAAGCCTCCTCCGGATCTCCCACATGGGTGCAGGAGCCCAAGGACTTGAGCCATCCTTGACTGCTTTCCCAGCCCAGAAACAGGAAGCTGGATGGGAAATGGAGCAACCGAGACATGAGCTGGCACCCATACGGCATCTGCTAAGAGGACTAAGTGTAAGAGTGCCTGAGGATAGCTTAGCACTCAGTCAGGGTTACACATTTAATGAAGGAACAAAGAGGAGGAAGAGAAGGATGAGTAGATGATTAGGTAATCTCCCTAAGTACATCCTTGGTCATCAAAGCGCCACTGATGCTGACGGATGTACCTACACAAGTCAGCTCTGTACCATACAATGCCCAAATGTTTAATACCTAAACATTCTATCAACTTTTCCTTTTTTATTTACAGTTTTCGGCTACTAACTGGACCCAAAAAATTACAACAATTTAATGGAACCTACGAAACACATTAAGTAATAAAGTGAATAAGTTCTTGGCCTCTGAGTTAATTATACTATGATCTTTTTTCACATCTTATGAGAAATCTACTAAAGAGAGACACAGAGAAGGAGCAGGTTTCTAACAGAAGAGCCTAGCTTTAGTCTCAGCTCCTTCGAACTCCCAATGCTTGCTAATATGCACTGTGCAGCCCAGAAGGCAGCACACGATGGGGGTCACACGGGGGTCAGCTATTGGGACCCCCGTCAGCTACAGCGGCTCCTGGGCTCACTGCGCCAGTCCTGGCTGCTGTGAGCATGTGGGCAGTGAACCCAGGTATGCCACCTCCGTCTCGCCCTTCTGTGTGTGTTTGTCTCTGCCCTTCAAAACAATAAAGAGGAACATGTATGTTTCTAAATAAAAAATGAAACAAGGAAGCACACACGAAACATTATAGGGTCAGAGTTACATGTGTGTTTAAACACCAAGAAATAGGCACTGAGGTTACTGGAAGAGCTAAGCGTACATGTTATTACATGCGTGCAGCCTGACACAGCACACCCCATACACAGAAACATGCCGATCCAGGGTGAGTCACACACTTGTGTAGCTCTGAAGTGATGTAACACACATCTCCACACATCTGTACAAAGACCCTTCTCAGAATTCAACTACTGCAGCAAACAGGGAGACATTCTGTAAATCAAAGTCATTTAAGTTATTCTTCCACAGCCACAAACAGAGCGGCAAGAAAAGTACCGGGATCATTGAAGGTTCTCATGCATGACTGGAGAGAAACTCAGTCAAACCAACTGTCCTACCATGCTGAGGACTCACAATCTCTCAGTTTCAATCATTGCACATTGTGAGTTACAGAAGTCCTCTCTGGAACCTCAGCTGAATTCCCAGATTCTTTCCCTGCCCCCATCCTTCTACATCCCATTCCGGAGCTCCTGATGGTCTTGGAGTGCAGATGGACACATGTCAGTCCAGAGGGGCGTGACGTCACTGCACTGTGCTTCTATCTCGTCTCCATTCTATGTACGCCTGGCCGATATTAAACACTACATACTTCTGATTAGTTTATAAAAGCCAATTCTGAAAACTGAGCCGCGTCATCATAGATACACGTAAACCTTCCCCTATGTCTAAGTGGGGGAAACGGTACCGTTGATGGTGTGGTGTTTTCATAAGCCTACAACTTGGAATAAAGATTAAATGTGATAAATAAATCTTCAGTTTCTCATAACATAACCATTTCCTCCTGCTGTATTGGGCGGGGAGACATTTCACTGAACAGTTCAGACATGCCAGGCTGTCTGAATCGAGCTCTGCCTAGAGCTTCCTGATCATGCAGTCGCTGGGGACAGAAGTGACGGCTCACGGTAACGAGGTTCCTGCTTCAGACGCAGAAGCCCTGCAGGACTGCTGGCTATGGGCTTCAACGCAGCCCAGGCCATTGCTAAGATACGGGGGTGAACCAATAGATGGACAAGCTCACATTCTAACCTCTTTCATCCTTTCACCCCCTCATTCTCCCTCTCAAACAAATGTGTTATTTGTTTACTTGTTTTTCACCTCATGCTGTTAAATGCAAACACAAAAGATACACATAAAAAAAAAAAAAACCACTGCAGTGCTGTATCCCTGTAGAGAAAAAGCCTACCGTGCTGGGCATCTCAGGGCACAATATCAGCCATTACGAGTTCTAATTTTTAAATACACAGGCTTTCTCCTTACGTGTTACAAAGCGCTATGCCACTGAGCCTAAACAGTTTTTTACATTCAAAACTACAAACGGTACCAAATCAGAGAGATCTAGACAGAGCCTCATTTTAAGCTAACTTCGGTAGGTCTACTTTTAAACATTATTACACCTGACCAAATTTATTGGAAAATACGATTTGTAATGATCTAAAAGCTCTCCTACAAACAAATCCATGATGAATATGTGCTCTAAAGACCTTTACCGTTCCCCATAAAGTCTGATTCCATTAAACAGGTAGGTGAAGAGCGTGCAGGTTTTACTATTACTACAATCAGCTCAATTTTGCCACTAGATGCTAAATGTTTTATGGCAAGTCTGAGTGAGGCAGGAGAAAACAGCTTCACTTTCTTCAGGATCCAGGTGGACTGCCAAGCAGGGCAGAAGCCAAGCAGGTGCACATGAAGTGGACAAAGCAAATGAGGAGCGCACAGACAATGCCTTTCATACACCCTAAAACCACTACTTCCTCCACGCACTGTGAAACAAACGCTTGCACCAATGCTGAAATGGAAGTCAGTATACCAGGACACCCCCTCAGCAACATAGCCACAAGTACACGTGTTCTTCCTGCAACTACAAAGTGCGAGAAAAAAAGATACTTATGTGGAAGGGAAAGTCCTAAGCCCCAGACCAAGGTGTCTATTCAACCACTGGCAGTCAACGATTCCCCTGAGAACAGCAACCAGGCAGTGGGCTATCCGCCCCTACACACACACAAAGTAAAAGGCTGTGATGAACCAACATATTTTCACAATTCTTTCCTATAAACGAACATAGCAACATCCAACATTATCTACTTGCAAACCTGCCCCAGCTTCAGTGGGCTGATGATCCTAGCCAAAGAAAGATATCCTTTTGCCAAATCTGAGTTCACAGAATACTTTAAGGGAACAGTACAATGGCTCAATGGCTAAATCCTCACCTTGCATATGCTGGGATCCCATATGGATGCCAGTTCGTGTCCCAGCTGCTCCACATCCCATTCAGCTACTTGCCTGTGGCATGGGAAGGCAGTAGGGGATGGCCCAAAATCTCAGGACCTTGCACCCATGTGGGAGACCCAGAAGAATCTCCTAGCTCCTGGCTTCAGATCACCTGAGCTCCAGCCACGGTGGCCATCTGGGGAGTGAAACAATGGATGGAATATCTTTCTGTCTCCTCTCTGGAAATCTGGTCTGCTTAAGCACCATACCAACGGGAGGGAGGGAGGGAGGGAGGAAGGGAGAGAAAAGAGGCTAAAGGAGGGGACAACAACTGAAATTCAAAGTGGAATTTTAGATTTTTTTCATTCTGGATAAACTAAATGGCAAGAAGAACTACAGCATGTTTGCGCTGTGCGTTTTGCCTAACCCCAACCTATACAAGTTTTTTTAGAATCAGTCATAACACAAGATTTTGAAATCTGTCTTTATCATGTTTTTCTTTCACATTAGACATCTGAGGCACTGAACTGTTGTTAATGCTTTCAGTATAATATTATAAATAGGACTTATAAAACTCGCTAACTCATACCTGACAGTTAATATTTTTCTCCTGAATGGGAAATAAACATATCCTTTAAAAGCTTCAAAATAATTTTATTAAGACAACTAATGAATGAATTAAACTACTAATTAGAGGTAAATTAAATAGAGCACTCAACTCACACAACATAAAACTTCAGACAAGAGGAGAAAAAGAATAAGGAAATATAATAGGGTGGGGTTTAAGAAAAAGACCAATAAAGGAAATTCTTTCCTGAATGAAAAAAGTTCAAACAACAGACTTCATTAGCACCCTCCTCTGAAAATAGTTTGTTGTTTAATACGAAAATTTTTAAAAATTAAAATTTTACTTCATCACTCATGCAAGGCATATTCCAAGCAGTCTGGTTAAATTTGGTTGACATTGACAGAAGCTTCCACTACTGTAACAAATCTACCTAACACTACTCATCTGTATTTAAAACTTATAGAAATAATACTTTCTATATCTACCAAGCAAAGAATTCTGCAACAAACTTGATAAAATATGCTTCTGGGACCCTGTGCCCATGTTGGGGGTTGGGGGTTTAGGGGCTTGAAGATCCCAGTTTCAAATCGGGTCAGCTCCAGCCATTGCAGACACTTGGGGAGTGGATCAGCGGAAGGAGGATCTTCCTGTCTTTCTTCTGTGTATCTGACTCTCCAATAAAAATAAATCTTTAGAAAAAGATGTTCCATCAGGGATCAGAGCTGTGGCTAACAGCAGGTTAAGCCAGCTTTCTTAGCAGTCCTAGCTGCTCTGTCTCCGACCCAGCTTCCTGTTAACCCACTGGGAAAGCAGCAGGGGATGGCTCAAGCGCCGAGGTCCCGCCACCCATACGGGAGACCCCAAAGGTATTCTGGGCTCCCGGTGTCAATGTGGTCCAGTCCTGGCCAATGTGGTCATTTGGGGAGTGAGCAGGTAGAGAAAAGATCTTTTCCTCTCTGTGGACACTTTTCCTAAAGTTTTAAGCAAAACTTAATTGAGACAATAATGTCCTGCCTGATTATGATTTAACAGGTACAATAACAAGAAAAATCCAGTTTAACAAGCCAACTATTTGTCTTTAGGAAACAGCACCTCTACCCAAACAAGTAAGGAACCACACCTTCTTTTCAAAGCTTTAAGCTCTAAACTTGAAATAGCACTCTGACATACAATATGCGCATCCCAAGCAGTGGTTTAACCTGAAATATTCACCACTCACAGACTGCTGACAATCTCTTTCAATGTTCAATACCTCCTATGGCAGAGAGTGTGTGGCCAATGAGTTCATACACCGTTAGCATACCTTCATCCCGCCAATGAGTGCCTCGGTTTGGCAGCCAGTTCCAGCTCCTGGTTCCAGCTTCCTGCCAATGTGGACTGAGGGGTAGCAGTGGTGGTTCCAACAACTGGGTTACAGCCACCCTCATTGGGAGACAAGGACTGAGTTGCTGGTTGCCAGTTTTATTCCTGGCTTGGCTCAGCCCCAGCCACTATGAGCGGTTGGGAAGTGAATACTGGAGAGGAATTCGACTTCCTCTGCCTCTTAACTGAAAAAAAAAAATGCGGGTAGGGAGGGAGAGAGGGTTAATCTCCCACTCTTGGTCAGTGAGATGGTAACTACTGCCATGCCTTTTCTGCCCGTTTCCAGAGCAGATGAGTAACACCCTGCTGTAACTCTACAGGATATCTTACAAGCTCCCATACTAGACAGAACAATACAGTTCTTTAAGGTTTACTTTAAAGAAACATTACTGTGTCCACAGGGGCACATGTATGTTTTAAACATCAGCAACTATCTTACTTCTTAAAACGATTCAGTGGCTCTTGGTCAAACTCGCTATAAAAAGTGAGACACTTCTCTTTGCTACCTGGGCACTTCCAACCCTTTCCCAATGTCACAAGATGGTACCACATTGCATTTCACCATGAATGCTCACATGTTGTCTCCCCAGCCTGGAATGCTAACCTGGGGAATCTAGATCTGAGATTTCAGTCATCCCAGGACAACACAGAGCAACAACACCAGCCCCTCCACCACTCTCCCCCATCTACTGTAAAACTCAGAAAGATTTAAATTTCAGAAAGAAAAATGGGAAGGTCTTGACCAGAGACGGTTAAATTCTGTCCAGTAGTCATGGGATAGTTACTGTGCATCTACAACGCCTGGGTTAACAGCAGAGATTAAAGAAGCTGGATTCCTGTACATTGTTCATTTTAAAAAAAAAAAAAAGCCAGGAAAATCAACTGTTTGTGATGAGTGTCATGTATTCTGTCTGGTGCATATCACGTAAACTTGTGGAAATCCCTTACAAAATTAAGGTTTATTAGCACGCGCAAGAGGATGCCAATGTGATTATGTCACTGAATTGCTAACATCTAATCAGTGGCAGACTAAGCACTTGTAAACTTGGGTGCTGAACACAGAAGGCACCAGAGTAACATCTGGCCTTACAAGGGGAAGAAGCTGAGCTGCAGAGACTGATGGACCAACATCTGTATATTGTACTGTTGGAAGTTATCCATGCCACATTCAAAGGAGACTTGAGAATCTCAAGTGAGATGAAACATGGGGAAAAAAAGTCCTTCTGTAACGTGCTGATAGAAATCAAAGATGTACCTTTCTGAAGGGAAATTCAGCACACCTCCCTGACCAAGAAGACGGGCATCACAAGTGCTTCCACTTCTAAGATCAAGATCTGATAACTTGTGGGACGCATCTATTTAAATCATGAGCTCGGTCTCGTACTCTTAAAATGATACTGCAAAAAATGATGCTGGAATTGGTGCTGTGGTCTGGTGGGTTAAGTTGCCTTTCCAAACTGTTTACATCCAATCCTAAAGCACTCATTCTAAGCCCAGGAACCTTTGCTTTGCTTCTGACCCAGCATCCTACTAGTGCATCCTCAGAGGCAGCGGGTGATGGCTGAAGCATCTGGACCCCTGCCACCTTCCTGGGACTCCCAACCGAGTTCTGGCCGGTTGGCTTTAGCCTGGCCCAGCCCTTGCTACTGCAGGCATCCTGGGAGTGAGTGAATATGTATAATGCCAGAACGAGAGTGGGTCTGAGCGTTGACTGTGTGATTGCTACTTCAACTAAAAGAGTGAAATGGGGAAACGATCACAGTAATTGACCTTGAAAGTTTTGTAAAAGCATCCTGTTTTTTTAATCATCTTTGTCTGATATTCCTGTTTTCCATTCCTTAAAAAGGCAACGGTTTTAAGAAATATGGAAAATGTTAACAGTTGTAAGTTTGAAGAAAATGTCTGGCTGCCCTGGGGAAACTGGCATGTTTTTCTTCTTATAAAAGGGGGGGGGCAGTATTTCTTCTTTTCCTAGCCTGGTGGTCTGGAAATTTAAGTAAAATTAGTTCAGCACCTCTACTAGCTCCTCATCAACACACCTACTGCGTGTGCACCTGACTGCCTCCACCACAGCCTCCTCGGCCTGGGCTGTCTGACTCTTTCCCGCTGCACACACACAGCAGGTGCATGGCACATTGGGAAGACATGAATAGGGAAAAGCAAGACTGAAACCGAGAAAGGAGGAAAAGAATGAGATAGCAGTCATTAACATTATTCACAAAAGTTTCACCATGGTGGGTACTTACACACTAGCAACAAACAGATCACGTATCCAACTTAAATACTGCCTGTATGGTGGGGGAAGGGAGTCTTCCTGTAAGTACGCCAAATAATTGATGTTTTACTAAATTTTGGCATCTTATTTGCTGTTATTAGAATGGTGATCAACTGAAAGATCAGAAAATGCTAGGGACATTACTAAGTGAGGAAATAATTATCACTGTATGCCTTCATCTAGACAGTGCTTAGTACTCATTTAAAAATGCCCCATCAGTCAAACAGTCTGAAGCTCAAACTGTGAATCAAGGTGCAACAAAGCACTGGGGGAGTGGGGGCAGATTATATATATATAGTATATTTATCATGAGCTGGTTCTGAATAACAAATATCCTATTTTTAAAGCTGTTTTGAGCTTTTTGTTTTGCACCATCATTTAAAATGGTGAGGTAAGAGCAGAGTTCAGTGCTCAACCTGTCCTTAACAACGGAAGGGCGGGCATCCCTGGGCCTGTCTTTGCACTTGACAGCCAGCAGGTGCTGACCAGCTGGAGCCTCTGGTGTTGGACTCCTGACTGGCCTTAAGCCTTCTTCACGCGTGTGCCCTGGCCTCCACAGACAGCCACGCTTACAACTTGAGCACCACACCTCTGGCCTTTTAACATAGGTTTCCCAGACCTGCAAACACTGATGACATGTCATCAGGGGTCACTCACTCACTCTACCGTACATGATACAGCGCTCTGCACTTTGTACCCAAGAAAGGGACCATGTTACATCTCAGGCAGGCCATGTAGCAACACATCTTTCGCTCCAATTTTTACAGCAGTAACTAGAAAGGACACTACATTTTGCGCTGTAGCTGCGGCCCCCTCGTTTCCACATCACGGGCGGATACTGCACAGCAGCCCTTAGTAAATAATGGATGCTCGATGGAAGGATAACAAATATCACCCACTAAAATTAGTCTTATTTTTTCCAGGCCGTGGTACATAAAGGATTCTCCTATGAAGGGAACCTGCCCTGTGGCTGCTAGACGCAGTTATTCTTTTATTGTTGCCACTATTACTACAATACCAGGGCCTCGCTGACAAGCCAGGTAACATCCCACGGTGGAAACAGGAAGGGACCCCAGCCTGAAGAAACAGTGCAGCCGCTGCTACACAGAACTGTCTCGGTGCTTCTGGGAGCTGGCACTGAATTACTGAGAAAGCGACTCTAAGGTTTTGCATCCATCAGCGTGTGTCAGGGAGCAAGTCTCACCCTGGTCCTAACACACGTTATGCCCCTTTATGATTCCTACCAATCGAATTTCCCTGTAAACAGTGGGAGCATATGGCTCAGGCTGACAGCGTTTATCAGACAACAGAATCTAGACAGGAATTAACGGCAAATGCTTTTTGAGACAAATGGTACTGGCTCTCCATTTCCAGTAGGAACAGATTTCTTTTTAAAGAAAATCAAGTTTTAAAGACCACTACAATGTGACAGTTAATTTCAGGTATCAGCTTGGCCAGATTAAAGAATAACTAGAAACCCCGAAAAGGATTGCTATAGGTGCATCAGTGCTGGGGTTTCCAAGGAGGTCAGCGTGGAGGTCTGGATTAGATGGGCAAGACTAACCCTCAACGGCTCCTAGTACAATTGAGACTCACTTCATGGCCTTTCCTGCTTGAGGCCTTCAAGACCTGGATCATGCACTACTACTGGGTGCTCCAATATCTGCAATCTGCAGACACCCTGGTACTGATGTGTCCGCCACCACACGCACACGAGCCAACGTCCCTAATAAATTCCACCTCGTGTAGCTCTATACAGCCTAGTGGTTCTGCCTCTTAAGAGCCATGACTAAGGGCACGGTGCAATAGCCTAGTGGCTAAATCCTCACTTTGTGTCCACTGGGATCAGTTCCTGTCTTAGCTGCTCCACTTCCCATCCAGCTCCCTGCCTGTGGTCTGGGAAAGCAGTCAAGGATGGCCCAAAGCCTTGGGACCCTGCGCCCATGTGAAAGACCTGGAAGAAGCTCCTGGCTTCAGATTGGCTCAGCTTTGCTCACTGGCTGCCTGGGGAGTGACCGAGTAGATGGAAGACTTTTTTCCCCCTCTCTCCTTTTCTGATTTATTTTTATGGGAAGTCAGATTTACAGTTTTTGTTTGTTTGTTTAAGCCATGACTAAAAAAGACCAATCCTAAGTTTTTTTTTTAATGGAGTGATGGTCCAGTGTGAAGTGCAGAGCGACAGCAAGCACTGCCATGAGACACCCATCGCTGGAGACCAGGGCCTACGGGTGATGTCCCTCTTTTAGCACAGACGGAACACATTTAGATTTTAATTTCCATTTTAGTTTAGAGCAAGTGTGAAAAATGTATCAAACTTTTTTGTAACAAAAAAGCTAACATATGTAACCTTGATATATTCAGCTAACATAAATCAGCTTATTATTTGTTAATTTATGTCAATATCATAGAAACATTAAGACTCCCGTTACCAAAAAATCTTCCAACAAAGCTTATAAAGTTTACAAGGCCAATGACAATATTGTGTCATCATTTTGTCATTACAAGATGGGGTTAACAGCAAGTAAACAGGGAAGCACAAACCTCAAGCCGCAGCTGTGACAAGTGCTGGGGTGGGGGTGGGTAGGGGTACTAGGTCCCCTGAGGGCTTGCAGCAGGTGTGAACTTGACCCAGGCAGGGCTTCCTTGAAATGAGAAGGATAGGAATGGCAGAAAGGCAAAGCTACAGGAAATGACCAGAACACAGAAAGGGGTGGGAACTCAGCTGAGGAGAGAGGTCAGGACTGGACAAGGGAGTTGCCCAAAGGCACAGGTGTGGAGTTCACCTTTACACCAAGCACAGTGACAACCAGTGACGTGGCCCCCACGAACAGATCTGCTGTCTGAAACGCAATGTAAGCTACCCTCCACCCAGGGAAGCAGCAGAAAACAAAGCTTGCATTGATAACATCTATACCAATCAAACAGTCAGAAAATAGTCACTTTTTTTTGCCATGAATTAAACACTTTTTTTTTCACTAGATGATATAGAAATATTAGACTCTAGGAATTTAAAGCAAAGAGGATGGGAGTTGGCAGAGGGAGTCCCAGGGTTGAGGGCTGGGTACCACTAACTGGAGAACTTGGATTTATTGCTCTGAGCTTCCAAACCCAGCTGCTCCTTCCACTTCACAAGAGCTGAAGAAAAGTTTTGCTACTGAAACCAAGTCGGAAAACCAGTGCTAACACCAAGCCCTCCAAGCCCTGACTGAAGGATGAGAATCGGCTCGCGGGAAGGCAGACCCTCACACGACTGAACCCCATTTTCAGCTTCTCTTTTTGACCCCTGTCCTGAAGTCAGCACTCAGACCCGGTGCCCAGTCTGCTGCTATCCCTCCCAGGTTTCAAACTCTGCACGACCACTGCATGTCCACTGAACGCTAACAGGGAGAAGGAAGGATGGGGAGGAAGAGAACAGAGACACAGTGCCCAGAAGCTGAGCAGAGCTGGCAGGTGTTGGCAAAGTGGCAAGAGGCATTAAAACCAAGCAGCTGCACACAACGGAAATCCATCCGCAGGTTCCTTTAACGCCAAGCGCACGCTGCAGCTCTGACTTCTGACAGCCAGCATGCGACAGACATCCCAAACGTCCCTCAAGGGAATGAAAAAATACACTGAGGTATAGTCATACAGTGAACACTGTGTGCTAAGGAGACTTGGTCAGTTCACAACACACAACATGGATGACAGGCCAGAAGTGATCCAGCGATTCTATTCATAACAGTGCTTGGAATCAGACACAAATGAGTATCAACTGGGAAGAAAATACCAAAACCCCAAAGAACCACAAGCCTAAATAATAAGACCCTAAGTCTTCTAAAAGTATATCTAGGAAAATCTTAGTGACCCAGGGTTGGGCCAAAATTTCTTAATTTAAAAATTATTTTTAAAATTTTGCCTTATCAA